GACGTATTTGCCATTTATGGCACGAATTGTTGCGTCGTCATTCACAATCAGCCAATTGCAGGGTCATATTCAACTGACCACAGCGAGAGAATTGTGGGGAAGTAGCGGTAAACCGAACAGCAGTCCATTTTTTTCCGCACAGATGACAAATATCCATGACGTCACAATAAAATTGTCCAACATTTCGTCCAAAATTTAACGTTTTTTTTATTTTTGTTTTTTTAATTTAAGGTTGCATCAACTTCTAGGTCATTAGCGACCACTATTGCTTGTAACGGTATGGTTACTGTGAGGATGACACGATATAATGATGATAGGTGGTAAAAGGACGAACACGATAAAACCATGACTGAGGCGGGACTCGAACCCGCGATCCTTCGGTCCAAGATCGCTACGGACTACTGCCTTAGCGATATCGGACCCCAGATAGGCAAACGTTGATTATCGTATAAATTTATAATGATGTTATATAGAAAAATAAGTTATGCAACTGGTTTATAACTTAACATATAACATTATTAAATGTTGCTTTGTTGCATTTATACAAACTTGAAAAATTCGCTCCTAACATGTCTCGTTTTTAAAGTATGACCCCACGCAATAGAGCTTAATATTATAAACTAGTTGCATAATATACTATTCGTCTGTGACAGAATTTTGCGTCGGTGAGTCCTCTGCACCAGGACATTCTCCGTAAGCGCGGAATTATTTGGCGTATGCGCGCCGCCCGCCCAGCGTGGCAGGCAGGCCCAGCGTGGGCCCAGCAGCTGTCTGCTGCAGCAGGCGGCGGTGCACCGGCCAAACACGCTTGCTCGGCGCTCACGTCAACACGCTCGCTGCATGCGACGGCACGGACTGTGCAAACGCCGCTCGCGCTTTATTCTAAATCGAAAATGTAATATGTCTCGCGTAATGTGGAGTAGTTCGCTTACGTCTCCGGTTTACAAATCACGCGTTGTTAAGTTAATGTTGACTATTTGATGTCTGTTTCAGTGGTGTTATCGTTCCACCAAGACTGTGAGACTACATCAGTGTAATATTGTTGTACCCAAGTATCGTACTCTTCTACGATCCGCCCGGTAGCTACAGATCTTTCTAAAGTTAAAGAATTCAATTCTTCAATTGTTGGTGTAAATATATTTTAACACGTTAATTGCCATAATTACATCAATATCATTTTATTCTCAGGCCCCACGTATTTTATCCTCAGTTCCCACGTACATTTGTAATGGTCATATAATGATGTATTATTATATATTTGATAAATCTGTTCATAAGACCATAGACCAAGAATACCAATTTGTTAATGAGACCATTGGCCTCGTTTCTTCGTAAGCATTGCTTTGTAGCGAAATAAAACATTGTGTATGAAGCACCCGTGATCTACACGGCCGGGTAACATGTCGCAAATGGGAATCATCAGTGATGGACATGGCAGTCAACCTGTATTAAAATCAAGTTCTCGTCCAATAAGTAAAGTATAAAACCCAAAAGATTTTCCGTATTCAGTGTATTCATGTATTATTCATTTTAATTGCGTCTATTATATTTTCTACAAGCAAATAACGTGTGATGGCATCTCGATTGAGTAATACCGGTCAGTTCAATTGCACCATGTTTACTCGATACTGAATGAACAAAGGTATACTCGATTTGCATGGCAACCTGTGGCAAATTCTCTTATAGCCAGTCTAAGAAAAGGTATTTGTGACGCTTGTAACCTTTTATAGTTTATCATAGGTAATGCCACGAGTGTTTGGAAATTGTCAATGAATAAATAATCATGTCAAATAATACATTTTTCTGAGAATTTTGTACGAATGAAATGTGTCCAACAGTGTTCCAAAATGCGACAAATATTGAAAATAAATGAAAGCTATGTTAATATAAAAAAGGTTGTGTTTATAGTACATATGCGGTTTACTGGACGTTGATATAGCGACCGATGTCTACCGCCTCCAAAGATAGATGAGTCACAGTTTATTATTGGTTAGTAGGGAAAAGCGGTAAGAAAAATCGGATAGAAAAAGTGCTAAACTTTTTGAAATACATCGCCCTGATTAGGGCATTTTATATGTATAGTTAAACACTATTGGTTTTTTATTTCACGAGTGGAATAGTCGTTATAAACTTCAAGCTAATGTTTCACGTCTGTAGGTCGCAATTATTACCGATAGGACACCCGACCGCAAACATTGTAGACCACAGAGTGTGCGGTGTCTAATGATTTCTCACCAAATGTGAGATAACGAAGGAAGTGTAAATAACACTGGTTTTAACTAGTTGCGGAATTTAAATAATTTATACTTAATTATTTTATTAATAATAAAGAAAGCAGTTAAAAAGTACAGTAAAACGTTTTCAACGCGGAAGGGTTTTAATGTGGAAATCTGTCCAGTGCTAACATAAACCGCGGTACTCGCAATCGAAAATTGTGTAGTATTACACTGTAGTACTATGTCTAATGCGGAAACTAGTGGATCTACAACCGCACATACTTTCTCGCATTATTTGTAAAGGATTCGCAAGATAATACTACTATTACATGATCCAGAAGTGTTTCCAAACAGCAAACAATGTTTTTCCGCGCTGAGATTCAAATACGGGTCTAGGAAGGTACCTCGCCATGAGATTTACCGCTACACCACGCAGTCGCTCGGGGATGCTCGCTTTCTCCGACGCTTAAGAAGCTAAAGGTCTCTCCCATTACTTCTAACGCATGTACTTTCTTTAAATTTGAGACAGTTCAACGAAGTCGATACTATTTTTTAAACGTCCTTTGCTCTCACCATGGAAAAGAATTCAACAAAAAGTTGGGGTCGTTTATGAGAATTGTTTTATAAAATGCATTAACTCCAAGAAGAATTACGTAAAAGCAACTAATTTTATAAAAAATTATGTTATTTACAACACCTTATTTTAAAGATCTGCGATTTTAGAACAGACGAAAATACAGAATGTTCGCTGGAAATGGAACAGGCAACACTTTTTTAACTTCCTTTGAAATATACTACGACAAAATTTTAATAAAAAAATTGGTATACAATTTTTTGATTAAAGAGTGGTTTTCCCGTAATTTTTGCTTGTAGTAAAGGCAATTTATATTTTTTCTCAAAAAAGAAACTATTTTTTATTTATTTTTCCCCTCAGATCCCCTCAGGAAAGAAAGCATTAAAACATGTCGCATGTCTCATTTTCACTAAACTCTCTGAACTTTCGAAAATTCTAAAAGTTACAAATATTGTGAGAAAGTGTGTGCTTGTTGGAGCACCCATACTATCTTACAATCTTAGCACAAACACTATCTTACAAATGTAGTCAGCATTTTTTCATATTTTTATGTAAATAAAGGTGTTTATAAACACGACATTAAAATTTACGTTTCAAAGTTACTGTAAAGTGAATGAGCTTATCTGATCAATTTCATAATACCTAAGTGTACTGAAACTTCTATATTGAGAATGCGAAGATTGATATATTCTTCCAGGGATGATAGAAAAGCAATATTTTCCAGAAAGTGGTAGGAAAATAACATTCTTCCTTATATTGTCAGTTGTATTCCTTAGCATTGTCAAAATGTTGCATATCTTCAAAATGCATTTCCTCTATTTTCCATATATTGATACAATAGATTGATGTTCATTATTACCATAGATACCATAAATTTGATATATTATTACCACAGATTGTAAAAAAATGTAGTGACGAGAGAATTTAAAGGGATTATGCAAAACATGTAAAATTATTATTTTGAATTATTTATTATTAGCACATATTATTAGCACATAAGGAAGAAAAAATTCTCGAACAAATTGTTCAATATCGTTTTAAGTATCAATTCTCGCCTTGATGAGAATCCTGTTTGCGGAATGCAATACGTTGAGAATGCATTGAGAAGATAAGAAGCTGGTGCGGAATAGCTCAACACCTAGAGGCAGGTGAAAATCATGTGCAAAAAGTATGTCGAAAATTCTATGAAATGGGTGAGAAAATTGAAATTCACAGTAAAAACCTTATATGGCCAGGTTTTGTCTACTTTGTTTTCTACACGGCGTAATAAGGATTTCAATTCCAGAACTCACAGTTGGGAAACAAATAAGCTATTTCATACACCATGCATTTCTACACCAACCTTACCAAACGTGCAAGGTTACTGCAGTTTAATTGCATATGAAACTGAGGTATCAAATAACGTCACAAAAAATTTATTATTTTCTTTAGTATCATGCTTTTTAATACTTTAAAACTTCACATTTTATTTTAGTCAGTTGTTTCTGAAGCAGAATATAAATAGTTTAGATATTTATTACACTGAAAATCACATTCACTGTTGGTTCTACCCACAGGATACGAGCCTACGTTTTCTGAACCTACTTTTAAAAAGAAACAATATTTTCACACCGGGATATCCCAGACAATGACTAGGTAAAGCATTGCTTGCAAAGCGAAGAAGCTTATCGTTCCTTCTCATGCGATATACAGGAAACTGTTATCTCTATCTAACAGTATCTATTACGCTGGCTCATGTGGGCCGTCTCAGTACTTGCATCAATGTCAGATTTCACAAGTACGGTAATCTCTGGAAGTGAATTACTTTTCAGAATCTCACGGGTTAAATATCGTAAAGGGAAGTTTTTCACAGGCCAGTCTTAATTGTTGCAAATAATAGTGAACAAGTGTGTTCGTATAAATCATGATTCATGAGAACAGATTTGCATTTGATTCTCGGAACATTTAGTCAAGCAAAGAGAATAGCCTCACTACAACTTCAAAGTTATCTCAATTGAAAGATGGAGTATTTTATACTATATATATATATATATATATATATATATATATATATATATATATATATATATATATTACTTTGTTGTTTAGAACTTATTATTTCAGTTTCATATTTTTCGTCAATGGTTTGCACGAGTAGTAATTTGAAGTAAGACATTTACTAGCTTATCCCCGAGGTTACTAATATTAAAATATAATATATGCCTACTGTATAATATCACTGTAATATTGATATGAAACAGACAACATCATATTAAGTAGTCCTACTATGAAAAAATTAATTAAGCTAGTTAACCCTACATAGAAATGTCAAAGTTTGTAGGCAATGAAACTTCAATGATCTTTGCGATTCAATAAACGGTAAGAAATCGTAGCTTCAAAACTCTGCTTGTTCTTTAGAAGTGATTACCATAGAGAGATAATGTGCATATTCCTTTTTTTAAATGCAGAGCAAGGAAGGTATATTAAAATATTAGATCTTATTGAGTGTATAGAGCAGTGATGCTGTACGTCCGATACAGACAATTGGAGCAGAGCTGTACGCTAGGTAATGGGTACGCTAACGCACTACAGGGCATTACATTACGCTCCGTTCCATCCGGACGGGCTGAGTGCAGAGCAACAGAACGCACCCCCCCCCTCCCTTGCCAGAGCGTGGTTACGTTATTGTAGCGCCTGGGCAGCTCTGTACTAGACGATTACTAATTGTTTGTTTTATGTCTTAACCTTCATTTGAAGATATATCGATATGACCCCAATCCCAATTTACCACAATCACAATGCCACTATAATTTCAACATTCTGGTTCCTACATCGAATCCTTCCATCATACCCTAGAATGAGTGGGACGCATTATTGGTGGGCGGGTGTACATGATGAAATGATGATTGTTGGTGGAGAAGCGGCGCCTTGAGAGACAAGGGAACCGGGAGAACCCAAAGCAAACCTCCCGCGAACCCGCTTTGTCCACCGAAAGTTTCACTTTATTCTCCGGAAACTGAACTCCGGTCCCAGTGGTGGACGGCGAACGCCCTGACTGCTAAAACATGGGACGCCCATTTGTTAATTGCTTTATGCACTAACAATAATAGGTAATTTCCCTAGAAACTCTCTTGAGACACAATTATTTACTGACCATCAGCTCTCTCATATGACCTAATTAACCAATATCATAACACATACTGTCACAACACATGAAGTGGAGTTCTTTGAACAATAACCGTCTTGAAAATTTTGTGTTGCCCAAACTCGTTATAAAGAACACAACATAACAAGACTACTAGCCCCTTTTTCATCTACATTTTTCTCACAAACTCTCAGCTTCCTTCATTCTCTACATACTATACTCATTTCTCCAGATAGCTATTTCCCTTTTATCATAAACAGCACTTACTCAAATAGTTACGCTAATAACCTCATACCTCTTAAAATTACCTTACCAAAAAGTAATTATCTCAAAAACCTCATCAACCTTAAAAACAATTAAAAGAAGTGCAATCTAACGCTGTGATAAACGTTTCTTTCTCTTCTCAGCTCAACCAAATGCCTTCCTTAAAATAATTAATTGCATTGTAAATACACATTGTAATATGCACAAACAGATGCAATGAAACTTAAATCATTCAATGTTAGATAAATTATCTAAATTAATAACATTAGGAAAATCGCTTGGCGGATTAGTAAAATAGAAAACATTTTTTCACCGCTCCAGCATCATCGAAAACCGTTCTATAAACATTTCAGGGCAAATGCGTATTGTCTTCTCTTATGTTCTCTGACAGTTTAGTATTATTTACGCTGATTAGTGAGTGCCTTACTCATTTTTGAGTGGAGGAGAGAAAGGAACGTTATGACGTAATGACTTCCCCTTTCCTGGACTGGTGATCACAAGGGCTGTTTGTCTTTGCCTTCCACTGCAAGAAGAATCAGGCACGAAGGATGAAGAATCTTACGGCATGCGAGGTGAACGATTATAGGAACGAGTAAATAATTAACTGTGGAATGGTGTTTATACGGGATACACGGCACGGTGATGTGAGAACCAAAGCATGACACAACCACACGATGCAAAAGTGCATGTCATGCACGGGACATGAATCCACGTTCCCCAGTTGCATGTACTTGGACGCTACCCAAAACCCTTACGCCACCGAGGCTGGACATACACTTCTTTTCAAGTATTGTCGAGCATTCTCCACAATCTCTCCTGATAAATATGACACGCAATAAAGAAACATTTTAGAAACAATCCTATATATACTGTACATACAAGATCTACCAACGTCCGAAAACATCACCGGCAACATATGCGGAGCACACAGCTGTTCTAATTATTTAAATAAGTTATCGGTGAAAGTTAAAAAGGTAAAGATTCCAAGTAAATGATGCCAAGTCTACTTACTTCTCATTAACCAATAAAATCCCTCAATTGAAATAATAAACTATTACAGGCAGATACTGTTACATATCTAGGGTTATAAATTCGCTTTTCCATTCAAAAATATGATTTTGCTACAGGAAGTGCAATTAATACTAATATGGGCATACGATGTCTGTAAGTCATTGTAATTTAAAATTCCTGCAGAGGTTTCAGTAAAAATTATTGTGCTCTGCTGTTAATACTCCTTGGTATATTTCTAATGCAATCCTTCATTTCGATTTGCAGGTACACACTGTTAAAGAAATAACCAGCACAACTACAGCTACAGATGCCAACATAGGCTTCAGAATAACCTCAGAATCCAGGAGATTAATAGTTTGGGTAATAGCGAAGAAACGATAAAGTTATACACCATTAGAACTTAGTTTCAGATTCAGTTGAGTTGTCATAATGTAACATCACTGTATAATATAAATAATTTTGTGTATTTGTATATAATGTATTAAAATTCACCAAAAGATCTTGTAGAAATAATTGTGAATAAACAAAAGCAAAGTAAAAAAAGATTAATCACAGTGTCAAAACACGAATTCAATTATCTTGAGATTTGACTTACTACTGTAGGTGAGCTGCATCTCCCGTCTTAGATTCTCTTTCACAGGAACATCTGGATTCTTGTCCATGTCGTACGCATTGTATAGGAACTTTTTCTTCTTCAGTTCTCCAACGAGTGACTGCATGAAGAGATGGCACGTGTGTTCGCCCGCAACCCGCGAATAACCGTTCTTCTCGTACACCATCATGACTTTTTTCCATCCATACCTACGTCAACAGAAACAACATTAACAAGTATTTTTTTGTTGTAATGATAAAGCGATTCTTACATTAAATTTGGATCATAAATAATGGATTGCAAATATTAAAAATCACAAACTCACTTATCCATCACGCTTATGAGAAACTCTGACATGCTAAAGAAAGACATGGTCCCAACACGAACTAGCATGTGGTATTCATTGGCGCACGTAGTCTTGTCTGTCATGAAGTCCATTGACATTCCTCCTGTAGTTATTAGAGGAGTCCCGTAAAACTTCACCAGTCTGGCGACCGAAGCTGCAATAGAAAACATATCCTATTGTATCTCCAATAAAGAAAAAATGATATTCCCACATAACAGGTTCTGTAACAATCTTTTCGAATATGTGTGACACGGTTTTTTTCATCTTTGACGAATATAATACAGAGTTACAAGTGTGTTTCATGTTATTTTTATGTAATCTGGAGCAAAATATTTCACGCGAGTTAGCCAGAACTGTGCATTTTCTCTCAAACGCAGTGATTTCATTTGAAAAGCACGAAAAACGTATTTTAAAAATTACATAAATGTATTAGTTTTATTGTGAATTAAATCATCATATATTACATCTTACTTATGATTCAAAGATACCATACGTTCATGTTACACATCTTCAATAGGCTGTTTTGTGTGTAATTCTAAACATTTCGCAGCACACCTTGTTCTCAAAATAAGGAAGATCTTGCCCCCCGAATATTAAAATGCTACATTGCGAGAAATTGACTCGGACACCGCAAATGTGAAAATCAATGGAGGCGGCACTCGACCATTGAAAGTGGCAACAGGTAATCTTTTGTTCTACACAACCGAATACTATCTTATTGTTTTTGTCTATTCTGGAAATGGCTATTTCCACAGTAAATGCGAAGTTGGAAGCTCAATTTTTACAGAAAATTTTTTGAGTTTTCGAAAAACTTCATTTAAAGTCATTTAAAGTACATTAACGCTCAAATACAATAGTGTATACAAATCGCTGGAAATGTGCATATTAACGGCGTGATAGATATAAAAAACATTTGTATAATTTTTGAAAAAAACAAAAGAATACAGCAAAATGAACTTTATGTCATTTTTAACAGTGGAATTAGCACTACCTGTTGAAAAAGTTGAGCCATCTTTGAGCGTTTCTGAAAATGCGGTATTTTGAGAAAACTGTTGAGTTTTCGAGAAACTATACCTGACATTATCTAAAGGACATGTACTCGTATAATGTAATACAATAATGTGAACAAATTGCCACGAATGTAAATGTTAACGACGTGAGAGACGAGTCAAAAAATTACATTTTTGCCAATTTTTATAAAGTGCTTTTAGCACTATATCTATCATAAGTTTCAAGAAAACATTGTAGCTTTTTGTGCCAATCTTTTTTTCTTTATTTTTTAAATTTGCAAATAGTGCACACAACATTGCGCGAAAACTACTAAAAGTTTCAAAAAAGTGTACCTGGTGTTAATAAAAGAACTAAGAACGGACAACAAATTTCATTTCAAAGAAAATTCCGATTCACTTTCGTAGTTTTAGGAAGACGCAGAAAAAATTCAAAATTTTGAAATTTTTGGAAATTCTGAATTAAACGTGAAAATCGGACCTATGCTACCTTTATAAGTGTATTTTCCTCTATTTTTACAAGACATTTAATGAAAAAAATTAAGCCATTGAGAAATTTTGAAAATATCCGGGGGGCTTCATGTAAAGTACTATAAAATTTTGTAGAAAGTTTTTCAAAATCGCAGCGCCTAGAGTCGAGCCAGATCGACTGCGGAATATGCATAAAAAATCCCACGTATGGTTTAGGCGCTAGTGATGTTCACGGACGGTCGGCTTGAAAAAAAAACACTTTTTCGGGATCAGGGGACCCCAAAACGTGTATTTCCATTGAAATATCGAAATAAATTGCAAAATTTTGATTTTTTTTCTGAGTCTTCTTACAACTACGAAAGTGAATCGGAATTTTTTTGAAATGAAATTTGTTGTCCGTTGTTAGTTCTTTTATTAACACCAGGTACACTTTTCTGAAACTTTTAGTAGTTTTCGCGCAATGTCAAAAACGTGTACTGAATGTACTTTTAGGCTAAGAAGAAAATCAAAGAGTGATCTCGTCAGCATTTGCTCAAAGAAACAGAGAAACTGGTCGAAAAATTTGATTGAGAACGAAGTCATTGACCTAGAAGCTAAGGTACAGTACTTTTTTTTGTTATTTGAGGTCGCATCAATGTCTAGGTCTTTAGCAACAGCTATTGGTTTTACCGTTATGGGTAACTGTGAACTAGAGGAAATAATATGGTGGTGATGGGGTTGAAAAGATGAGTCATACTGCCTTCGCAATCTCGGCCACCGGATCGGCGTACTATACTTGTTACAGGCAAGTTTAGCCTTTTAGAATTATTCAGTCTAAATAGTAACAAATAAGTTAAATAGGCTTTTATAAATCAATTTTTTTTTCCTTTTTGGTGCTTAGTAGAGTCTTTAATTCAATAGAAACAGTTATGCAGTAGAAAAGATTTTACTTGGCACTTAATTACTTGGCACTTGTTTATCGATTTTAATTATTTAATGTTGTCTGGCAATGTGCTGTAAAATAATGTACTTGTATTGCATAAGAAATTCCACTTCCTCGCACTTCCATCGTAAGAAGAGAGTATTGCAAACGTCAGCTGAAAAATGGCGGATTTTCGACAGAAAAACTATTATTACCGGGCCATGGTAACAAAACATTGAACAAATCCTGTTCTTATATACATTAAATTAAATACTCTAAGACGTGTGTAGCCAGAATCCATATTTTGTGGGTTCTCCATACCGAAAAATCGATTGACATCAAAAAGTTTCTCTGTCCACCCTTCAGACCGTCCGACTGTGGTCAGCACTGGCGCGTAAACCATTTACCCGATTTTATCCAACATTGATACTATCAGAGAGCTCAGAACGGACTCGAGGCTTTGGAAGTTTCAGACGGATATTTTCGATTTTCGAAGGTACTTTGCATGAAGGCTCAAAAATATTTCAATTTTTAAAAAAGTCTGAAAATTCTTTGATAACACTTTGTCCTCCATAGCGTAAAGGACTCTTAAGAGAATGGTGCAGGTCTCAAGTCTCCTGAAATCCCTGATTGTTTGGAAAAGTACAATTTTGTGGGCGTCTTGATACAACTTCAATATTTAAGATAGATATTTTTTCCTTAATAAAACCTGTCTTTTAAAGAAAGGTCTTAATATGAGGTAATGTTCAAATTTCCCAAAATATGAGTAGTTTTCATGTAATTTTGCGCGAAATATAAGCAATTTTAATTTTTAAAAAGATTTTCTAAAATTCACAAATCAAACTTTTTTCTTGGTCTTCCTACAACTACAATTATGAAGACAAAGATTTTCACCTTAATGCAATATGGTTCTAAAAGTAAATTTTGAAATAAGGTCATGAACAAATTTTTGAATATTTCAGTACTTCTCGTGTAATTGGGCGTGAAACTACGGGCGAGAAATTACGTATTATTTTAGCACCACTAGTTACCTAACACAAAGTCTGCTTCCTTAAAGATTTTTTCCTGAGATAAAGTTGTGAAAAATCAGCTTTTTTAGAGAGGTCATGTACATCTTTTTTGTTGAATAAACGAGTGGAATTTGTGTAATTTGTTTCTGAAATGAAATTTCTAAAATGTTCTCAGTAACCGCTTTGAATTTGTTTATTCAATTTTCTCCTAATATGGAGCAATGGGTGGTACAAAATGTGGTCCAAGTCCCATTTTCAGCGATCGCGTTTTCGAAAACTGCAAAAAATGCGTAGTTTACTTTCAAAAAGCATAACCAATAACTTATTTTATGTACACACCAGATGGTGCGTGAACCATACACGTGAAACGTCGTGAATGCGACTTGTTTATAAATTACCTTTTTGGTTCTCAAAAATATAGGGACATTGTGTTTTATTCTTATTACATTTGTTACTCATTTCTTTTTCAATTCCGTCAATGTGTATCACATCCCACACATTACACAGTCTATGCGCCCCTCCACAAGACGGTTTAACAGATTTTTGGACCTCAGGCAAATGTTGCGAAGCCTTAACCTATACTATATGTCTGCTCATTCACAGAGAGCGCTTAATTTTAGCCCAAAAATTACTTATTTCAACTTTTGAAGGAAAACGTCACAAATGTAATTTTCTAATGAAATTAATATTCTAGTTAAAATAAATATAGTTTATTAAAAGAGTTTCCAATTCTGTTTTAAAACTGAGAGAAATTTGTTATGGAATAATGGAAATATAGTTGCCCTCACTATTAAGATAAAAGAACTATAATGAAATCATGTATACAATGTATATACACAATCACATCTTTGAGAAGAAGATATCAATGAAGCTGAGATAAAAGGAAAGCGCAGAAGTCTAATGTAAACCCCAAGTTCTAAAAATGGCTCACGAGAAAAATATACACGTCTCCGGAGAACAACTTTAAGAACACCGCAGAGGAGTGAAGGTGAACGTTTGTCTTTCCGGTTAGCGGCGGGCTTCGCAAACAAATGGTCCCTGAGATAAACGAGGAGGAGACACGCTTCCGGCGTGTCGTTTTCTGCATCAAATCAGCACAGTGAAGAGTTGCGCTCATTTTATTGAAATCTGATAACATGTTGGTTTGATAGTTTTCATCTTGCTCGTAAAAATGTCTTATGCGTAACTCTACTTAGTAATATCTTTTATCTCATCCGATCGCCATTGTAGGCTGATTACTTATGTGTTAGGAGTCGCAGAAATGGCTCTTTATTACAGTGTTGTAATAAAGTAGCTATCAATAGTCACGATAAACAGCAAACTACTGCCAGTAAACTGAACAATATGATGCACACAATAACATTATTTTATTGAAAAATGGAGGAATACACATAGAAATACACTTATACTAAACTAGCGAAACCCGACAGACGTTCATCCCTTTGCCTCACTCTGTTTCATTCATACTTAGTTGCAGATTCTGCACGTCTCTGAGCAGGTGGGGTAATATCGAAAAACACTGGACCAGCAACAATGTAATAGAATGTTCAAGAACATCTCATCCTGTAAATTACGGACTGAAAAACACTTCTTTGAGGCCTCATCACCAAATTTTAATTTTTAATCCCTTAGAATGCTTCGTTTAGGAGTTATTTGCGATATAAATTAAAAATGCTCTCGAGTATTGCGAGTTGCTTTAGCCACGAATATTTTGTTTTGTTCTACGGCGCCATCTAGTGGAGTTACAACAAAATTACGGCACATAAACCTTGTGGGTGAAA